CAGTCGAGTGTGTCATTATTATGAATTTCTGACGCAGAAGCGTGCTGCTGGCAACGAGCCAGCGCGGTCACTCATGGTATCGAGTCCCGTGGGGACCCATGATCTTGTACGTTCATCTTTAATACCATTAAATTCCTCCCCAGCCCCCTTTTATTCATCGAACTCCCTCTTCGATGAGAGGTGCGGCTTGTGTTTCTAAGTAGCTGTCCACTTATTTCACCAACATCAGCCGGTGGTTGCACTACTCCCACAGCCCAGAGTCAAAGTTACTTCACGACTGGCGGTTTACCGCCAATCAGTTCGTCTTGGCCCCAAGCCCCTTGAGGATCACGGCCAGAGATTTTTTTTCGACGGAACCATTGCGGTCATAGTCTGACGAGAAGATGGGTCTGTCTCTTATGAATATGCTTGCCCTTTTGTCAAGTGTACGTATTGCTTTTGCACTATATACAAAACCTCTGTCAGTCCAGGATTTGCAAAACAGATCATCCTTATCTTATGCAGCTTAAGCTACAACAGCAGCTCAAAGTTAAAGTCGAAGTCACGATGCAACCGACGGTCAGTTAATCAGTCAGCCTATCTTAAAGACTTCACATCAGATCCTGATGACGAGTACAGAGACTGATTGTCCCTGAAACGTCGGTCATTCTTAACCAGTTAACACGGTTTGTACCCCGAGACAATTTCATCAACTCTAGCCACCGTGAAGGCTTCAGATGTAGGAATGCGAACGTTCCCCACTATGCCTGTATTCATATTTCTTCAGCTCACTCTTAATACTGATTGTCTTATTACACACATACCAGGGATATGGATGCTCCCACGCTATACGAATTGATGTTTCTTCAAAACACTTTTCACAGAATTACTTACTACACACTTCACAAGAATACATATTCTCTCCACTATAACTGCGTTGATGTGTGTCCAGATTATTCTGTCAGATATGGACGCAACCCACTGTGTATGCGTTAATTTGGCCTCAGAATGACATATTACAAGAGTATAAACGTTCCCCACTATGCATGCGCTAATGTACAGGTGTTCGAGAAAGAAGTAAGAAAAGAATTTGTATAGGAAAAACCATTTATTATATAGAAGAAGGTAAACATGTAAAGATGAAGTTGTCGCGTGCTTAATTAATTAAGCAATGTGCCATGAATACATGCTGGGGAGTGGAGGTACATCTCTACCGCTGTTCTTACAATTCAGTAGCACAAAACCTAAAGGATTTGCTGCCATCTGGTAAATTAAAAAAATATTTTATCATCACAAAATTAAACTGGAAGGGAAAAATTATGTGATGAGAGAACGAACACTTCAGTCTGCTACTGACGTCTCGTGAATCACAATAATAACATTTAGCTGTTCTTCTCACTGAATTGTTAAACCCTCTGCCATGAATAAATATTTGCCCAAAATTAAGAAGCTAGGTGAGCGAAGTGCACAAATATTTGACTGAAATTACAGAAAAAATGGTTCATATGGTAACATGTAGACCCGTTGCTAAGTAATGACTCTTTAAACAACGTCCGCTGCTAGGTAACAGATTCCTAACACGCACAAATGGACTAACTGGGAAGCGATGTTCTCTACGCGGTCCGTGCGACATCTGCGTGGCGCAACAATAGAAGAGCTATTTTCAGTGAGATTCGTGCCGAGGTGATATAAGCAGGACAAGTCTAGGGTTTAGTTAGAACCCCGTGTGGAGGCGGGGGCGAATACCTCCACCGTGACCCTGTTAGTCGTAGGAGGCGACGAAAAGGAAGTCTCACATCTGAGACAGCATAGTATGGTCACAAGTCCCAAGGGACTCGGACCCGAGAAAGATTGCGCTGGCAAAGGCCAACAGCATATACAAAAGACGGACCCGTCCTCTCGTCAGAGAGGGCGTCCCACAAAAACAAGACCGTAAATGTGAAACAGTAATAAATATCTGTAAGACTTACTGACTGACTGACTGACTGACTGACCGTCAGTCGCAATGTGACTTGGAAATGGACTTGGACTTGGTTTAGTTAAATGTGAGACAGTTGTCTGCCAATAAGGGCATGAACACAGAAGTTGAAGGATCTGCGGTGTTGGAAGCCGTAGACAAGACTATTCAGCAATGGATCCATTGCGACACGCACTCTAGTAATGAAAGTGGGCGCATTTGGTTATTTTCAGACGCCCGAGGATGGTCGTAAATGACCGAAACATCTTACAAAAGTAACTGATTTTATCGACAATCTGAGTCTATCAGCTATTTATTAAAAGTATGAAATTCATGTTATCGACGACATATTTATTAATTTTTGACATATATAACAGACTGCAAAACATACGAATGCGGATAGTCATAGGATGTTTGGGAACAGGGTATTGAAAAGAATGTTTGGGCCGAAGACGGATGAAGTGACAGGAGGCTGGGGAAAACAGGAGCTTCATAAATTGTACTTTTTGCCTAGTATAATTAGAATGATCAAATTAAGGAGGATGAGATGGGCAGGGTATGTAGCACGATTGGGAGAGAAGAAGAATGCATATAGGATATTGGTGGGAAAGTCAGAAGGAAAGAGACCACTGGGAAGACCAAGAGGTAGGTGGTGGATAATATTAGAATGAATATTAGAGAAGTAGGTGGACTAGATTGATCTGACTCAGGATAGGGACCAGTGGAGGGCTCTTGTGAACACGATAATAAATCTTTGGGTTCCAAGAAATGTTGGAAGTTCTTGAGTAGCTGCACAATTAGCGGCTTCTCAAGAAGCGATCAGCTCCATGGAATTAATTATATAAATTACAGAGTTTTGTATTTCCTTTATGTGCGCTATGTTTCTTTTTCTCTACTCGTGCTAAATTTTTAATTTACCTTTGGGCTGTTAAGTTTTCACGTAAATAAATAGAAAATTCATTATAGTTATAAATAGTACTATGGTGCACGCCGTAGCATAGTTGGTTGAGGCACTATGCTACAAGCCAGAAGGTCGCGCGATCGAATCCCAATGAGGTCATTGATTTTGCTCTCAATTTACCTAATCCTTCCAGCCGCACTATGGCCCTGGGGTCGACTTAGCCTCTAACAAAAATGAGTACCAGGATTAATCTTGGAATATCCTTGGGGGTAAAGGGTGGCCGGCGCTTAGGGCTGACAACCTTACCGCCATCTATGAGCCGATTGTCTAGAAAATGTGGGAACCTCAAAAACTCACAACCCTATGGGCCTCCACGGTCTGTTACAGGGATACCTTTACTCACTTTTTACTTTACTATTATTATAATATGTCTTAGAAAACGGTCACATATCGAGCCAATGGCACACTATTCATATAACATTAGGTGAAAACAGGACCACTCATTCACAAGTTCACATGGGAAAAGCGTACGCAAACGCCGGAATTTTCTTCGTCACACAGAAAAAAGGACTGCTTGTATTTCTGTGGCAGAAACAGATGTTATACAATCCATAGCATTATTTAACCTCATAATAACCGGAATACACTTTTCAGTTTAAATCCATGACACTCCTTAAGAACTGCAAGAAAATCATTCTCCTTAAAAATCAGAAACTGAAGCGAATCTGACATGTCAATGAACTAAACAGGTACAGCTTTAAATATAAAATGCATAGAGGATGAAGTCCTCACGTGGTGATTTTAACTTACACATACAGAGTCATCATGGTCCGTTTAAGATTTGTTCTTGCGTAATTATTACAAATATATATAAGCGAAGTTAGTATTTCGGCGACAATATTAAAATGCGTTCTTACACTCTATAAGACAACTATGCAAAGGCCGTTTTAATCTTGCAGCTACTCAGATAAAAACGTACGCAAGCGTTACTCTTAACTTTTTAAGATTATGTTGATATACCATATGTGCTGGAGGGAGAACACAGGTTTGCCCACGAAACGAAATTTGTATAAATTCATTTTGGGATTTGCCTCCATAACCGAAATAGCCGGGACAGCATAGACTGTATAGCGACTGGCTACGGGCTGGACGACAGAGGCGTCGGAGTTCGAGTCCCGGTAGGGTCAATAATTGTTTCTTCTCCAAGTCGTCCAGACCGGTTCTGGGGTTCACCGAACCTCCTATCCAATGGGTACTGAAGGCTCTTTCCTCGGGGATAAAACAGCCGGAGCGTGAAGTTAACCACTCAACTCTAACTGGTGCCGAGGTCAAGAAAATGTGGATCTATACATCCACACCCCCATACGCCTTCATGGCGCAGTGCTTAATTAGTCAAGCACAGGGACAACTTTACCTTTTACCCCATACCCGAAGCACAATTTGCATAATTCTGTCCATTCACTGCAGATGTCAACTGAAAGATCCTAGGAGAATCTACACGTGTGTCCGCGTTTCGTGTTTCACACATTGCTTAATATTCTGTAAAAATGGCTCGTTTTAAGGATGATTGTGTGGATCCTGGAGAGTATACAACTACGTGTGTGTACTTCATGGGACAGAAAACCCCACTAAACACTCCATTAAGAGGCAAAACTAGGGTGGTCTCGAACTCCAGCCTCCTGGGCGTAAAGTGGTCATGATGCGATCAAGTAACTATGCACCGACAAATGATTCTTCCAAATATTACAAAGTGCCCGAGTGCTAGAGACAATGTGGCCGACCTGAGAATGTTCGTGTGGCACTGTGTAAGAGTACTAGGAATTGGGAATCTTGGGCAAGTTCCAGGACATGCGCTATTGTCGTCCTGCTGATGTTATAAACTTCAATCTAGATCGCTAGCAATCAACAGTGACTTAGTGAAGTGCGAACCCAGGCCAAGATGAGTGGACGCAAACTATTGTCTTCAACAATGAACAAGCGACATGGGGGGAATAGAGCCAACTTCCTCTTAGGGGGATGCAGCACCACGATGGTGGGCCCAATTAATTTCTGTTTCCAAGAACTCTTAAGTGTAATATCTGTCCAGCCCCCTCCCTTTGCATCTGCGTCTGTTGGAGCGGCGGGGAAGGGCAACACTTCTATTATCATCTTTCCGTTGGGGGAGCAATTTCTCCGGGTCCGTCCGTGACTGAAAGCGCTCGCAATCACCAAGAGAAGTCGCCATGTAACTTCTTGGTAAGTGAGGAATTCTTTTCATTTTGTATATTCTAGCTCAATGTGCATATTTGTAACATACAATTGTAATTAATTTTGAGTTTTGTACTTGGAAGTAAACTGGAAAGTATCTAGAACCATATACCAAATTCGAAAAATGAGTGATTACAAGAATGAGAAAATTTTCCTGATTCTGAGCCCGTTCTCTTTTTTTCTCTCTTCTTCTTTTTTTGTTACATATGAAGAAGCTTATGACAGATACTGTTAACAGAGTGAAAGTCATAAGTACGTTCAGTGGCTTGATTCGGTTTGTTTGTACTGGCGGTACCACAATTTCTCGCTTTTCTTTTTGTTCTTCGTGCCAAAAGAATTTGACATTGCTAACGGTAGTCGGAATCTAACTAGGATTATAATTTAAAGTATTTATTGTGTACGGTAGCATAGTTGGTTGAGGAATTTTTTCTACCAAATTTTTGCCAACGTTCAAACTGAGCTAAAGTAAATGGCAGAAAAGTAAGCCTCAATCATTTTGCTAACATGGTCTATTAATTATGATCATTTCATATAAAAATGTTTACTGCTTTCCTTTGTAAGGGAAACTCTGAATTAAATCGAACCTTCTCATGACATACAATATGTGATTATGGACTGTATCTGTTATGATGAGAACGACTCGATTTGAGAGATCAGGACTGAACTTTGAGCCCATACTCTGGAGATAAATATGAATTTCGGAAAAGTTAGTTTCCTTGTAGCCTTTAATGAATATGCTGAGATAGTAAAATAAATAGCAACAGAACACACTTCCAGCACTCGAGAATTTGCGATCAACGGAAATATTTTGTTATCAAGTACTGGCTTTACCAATGACGTGAGAAGTAAAGTAACATAGAACTCATGATTCTGAAGGGCAAAGTCTGAGCACAAAATCAATTTGATAAGTAATAATATTATGACACAGGATTTAATAGTGAACAACCTATGTATGTTTAATATCGCTTTCCAGTAACAGAAGGAGTAGAAAGAGGTTCATACGAAAGATGTTTGTTACACATAAATACATATGATGAATAATTTCAGTGTAAGTAAAGGTATCCCTGTAACAGGTCGCGAAGGACCACGGGGTTGTTAGAGGTTGCGGCTCCCACATCTTCTAGACAGTCGGCTCACAGATAGCGGTAAGGTTGTCAGGCTGACGCGCCGGCCGCCTTTTAATCCCCAGGAAGATTCATGATACTGTTTTCTGTTCTTGGCTGAGTCGATCTCAGGTCCATAGTGCGGCTGGAAGAATTAGGTAAATTAAAAAAATTCACCTCATCGGGACTCGAACCTGCAACCGTCCAGCTTGTAGCATAGTGCCTCAACTAACTATGCTACCGCGTACCCATAATTTCAGTGTACTCTGTTCATTTATCTACGTGGATACTTTTGGGGTGGTTGTTCTGGTTCATGTGTAGCTATATTTCACGATGATTCACGATGATTGTAAAGGCGACAGTAGCAGTGCTTTCTAAATCTACCCACGTAGGGAGACGGGATCCGAACGTTCGACACGTTATCAGTTTCCGTTTATGACCGTACATGCAATAATTTGAAATTAAATGGTTTTGCAATGCTCTAATTTAAACAGCAAATAAATAACCTTACCCAACACCAAAAGCGTACAGCATGACGAATGATAGAGCTTCTCCAGACAACTCTTTCAGTTGAACAGTATTATCGTCTGGGATATAACGCCTTATAGCCCGTTGAAAATCAACCGACGTTCTTGAGGAACATACCCCCTCCATCTTCAGGGTCGAAAAATAAGTCGAGGAAGATACCAGTGTGAAAGCAGATGGCAAGATGATTTCCTCCGAAATGTCGGTTGATTTTCAGCTGGCTAAACGGCGTCATATCCCAGAAGATGGCATTCTTCATAACCACCGCTGTGTGAACCTCAAATCCTACATCTGCTTTAGTTCTTTGCGAAATATTTCTATAATTTTGCCCCTTGAAATATGAGTAGTACTGTTCTTTTTTAGGTGGCATTGGTCCTATATACATAGACAATAACATCCTAGACATAAATAGTCTCTAAATTAAAATTTCTTGTTCCTCCTCTTCGTCTTCTGCTTTCGCGGATTAAACCTTCTGGGCCGATCCGTTTCGGAATTAATTCTGGAGCTATAAATCCTTTGACATTACACAGGCTTCATGTGGCAGGTGTCTGGCACATAAAAAGACATCTATCTAATCACACAGGAAAACATAACACACAAAATACAGACATACAAACATGCGTACTGCAGATCTCTCTGTTCGAAGTTCAAGGTCATACGCACTTCATACTGCGTGGCCATTCTAAGTTTTAAGTTTAAAAATATATATAAATAAGAAAATAAGAATGATTTTAGTTTTTGAATGTGCTAGTGATCCAACTCGTAACGAGATTTTCCTCCGTCCATATATTTTCAGTAAAGAAACGCAAACATAAGTGTAGGGTGAAATTCTCAATATCATTGTCATTAGATTAATGAACAATTCTTTAAATTTTACTATGTTTGTGACCGCCAACAAAGTAGTTGTGATAGCAGTAGTAGTAGTAGTAGTAGTAGTAGTAGTAGTAGTAGTATGTAGTATTTTGATTAACCGCCATAATTTTCCACCTTTTCGGTCATTCTCAGTTGGCGCAACATTCAAGTTACTTGCAATGTTGGAATTCCTGCTTTATTTGAACAGTGATCCAGCGTTTTTTTTTTTTTTTTTTTTTTTTNTTTTTTTTAATTTGTTAAATTCATGACATGTGGTGTGCTGTACACTCTTTCAATGCTGTTCGGAAATAATTATACAAGGCTGAAAGGCAAAAAGTAAAAGGTGAGAATGAAAGTAAAAGTAAAATGCGCATATAGTAAAAACGCGTAAGAATGTACACGTATGTTACAGTTATTCTAGTGACCGTGGCTCTTAACACTTTATATGGAATCGGTCATGATTCTAAATGCAGCAATAATCACTTTGTAATACAATTAAAATACTTTAATAAGTGATTTACTTTGCTTACAGCAAAAGCAGAATCTCTGCTCTATCTCATTGGTTTCCCGCGACGCTTTCTTTATAACTGATTATTAGGGTGTTAATATTTCTGTATCATGAAAATCTGCCAACGGGATAAACAGATGTACTTAGAAGCTCATTTAGACCTCTATGAAAGTAACGATTCCTCTACGCATAATTAATCACAGGTCCTAAATAAGAATGGAGGGTGGAGGTATAACTCCACGAATTCTTAACCTCAGCATTGAAGAGGTGTAAGGCTACGGGCAATAACAACCGAATCGAGACCAATGAAATCGATTTGAGTCTGATTCATTAGAATGTTTCAAAGGAGATCCTTAGTTCCATTCGATTAGAATCGACTGTTGCAGTATGAGAGGGCACGCAGGGTCTATTTCCCTTCTATTAGCGCCGATCAGCAAATCTATGGAAAAATAACTTCTACTTCCCAGTGGAAGTGTAGTCCAGCAACAGTGAAGGAAACGGATTTAAGGGATCTTAAATACAACGATTTTTATACTTCAGTTTCAAACAACCCCAGACTGCTGTAAGAAATTCGATCATTCCAGAAGCAGAGCAATAAAATATTTGCCCAAGAGCAGGAATCAGTTTCAACATCCGCCGGAAATGTGTGATAGCCAAACGCCATAGTGTAAAACCTACAAACCTATATATATATATATAATCGGGTTGCCCTACTTAGACACTTAGGCGGCCTCACATCTTAAAGGAGATATCGATTACAAGTTTCGTCCGACCCGAGCTAGAAATATCTTGGGATCAATTTGCAGCGTGCTGTGATAGTTTTCCTTAGTTCTCTGGGTCTCTCCTGACGAATTCCGTGTTGTTACACTATCAATGGGAGATAGTTTTTGTTTTCAATGTAACCGATTCATAATTCATAACCACTTCGAACTCTTGCTAGAATAAAAATCATGATAATAGAGACATATGCACCTCGTGTTTGGCTCTGATGGACATAGCGCTATTACTGTACATGATTTATTTATACAATAGAAGATTCGCAATGATAGTGAAACACAGAAATGAGAAAATATGTAATATTATGCACACAGGCAAGATGGCTAAAAACTCATTCCTCGTACAGAATGGCGGTATGGGACGTCCTCCTTTTTGGTTTCCTTCGTGCTTCTTGCAATTTACAATCGCATTACTCGGTTTGAAATTAAGATTAATGAAAGACTGCTGTAATAAACATTCTTAGTAGCAGTATGAAGTCTTAAAGAGGATGCAATTAAACAAGTACATTAAATTCAATGATTTCCAGAAGTTACCAAATGTTCACTTCTTGGAAATCATTAGGAAGTTGAACAGTATACAAGAAATTTTAACGATAACTTGACACTTTTAATTCTGAGGTAATAATAAGTCTTGTGTTCAAGTCTGTTGGCTTTATGTCCATATTATTATTATTATTATTATTATTATTATTATTATTATTATTATTATTATTATTATTACTGCTGCTGCTACTACTACTACTACTCCTAATCTGGACGTGCTGTTCACATTTACGAGAGGCAGAATTTTAATAACACGATTGGAACAAAAGACGCCAAGTCTTTCAATCTACTTAAGCAAATTTCTGGAACTAGAGCGAGCAATGAACTTACTCGTAAGTGACAGTTCTTCAGTCAGTTAATTTTCCATATATTATCATTAGCTACTTTCCTATCTCTTTTCGCGTTAGGAAGTTACTTGCCATTACATATCATTTTTACACCAAAACTCTGTATTTTTCATCAGAACAAGATAAAGATGCCGATTCACGCGTTTCATTTCATCGGGATAGCACAGTCGGTATAGAAACCGGGTACGGGCTGGACGGCCAAGGGTCGGATTTCGAGGCCCGGCAGAGGCAAGATTTTTCTCCTTTCCACGCCTTCCTGACCGGTCTTGGTGCCCATTCAACCTCATATCCAATGGTTACCAGGGGCTCTTTCCCCGAAGGTAAAGTGGCTGGG